ACAGGTTGTGAAGTATTTGCATTGTCTTACCTGACTGAATGTTAAAACATTTTTTTTTAGGTGCAGGTCCAGAAATTGCACAAGTTGGGAAGTACTTGAACTGACAGTTCATGATGTACATGAAGGCTTACAGTCTTCATCTATAGATACTTCTCTACTTTCCTGAAATTCTGCAAGCACTCTAACAAGACTGAGCTCTAGACATAAAAGTCCCAAGAGAGCTTGTCCCTCAGGATTAGCAGGATAGATGTGAAAATTAATAGGGTATTTTTCCCCACCTGCCATAGGGGAAATGTGCTTGCACAGTTTCTCTGTGCGTCTTGTGTTTTTTTCCTTTGTTTGTTCCTTAGTTTCAGGTACGTGAACAGCAAGAGGTTCTAGGTGGCCATGTACATCAATAATCAATTTCCTTTTATCTCTTTAGAGTTTTGAATTCACTCTCTCATGTATACAAATCCCCTGAAATGCAGTATCCATTTAATGGAAAAAATGGTCAAGAAAGGTTTTTTTTTAATTTGATGGTAGATAATTGGTTTGATTTGTGCTATTGAATAGTTGTTCCCATTTGTGATGGTTTGTATATTCTTGGCCCAGGCAGTGGCACTATTAGAAGGTGTGACCCCATTCAAGTAGGTATGGCCTTTTTGGAGTAGCCGTGGCACTATGGGTGTGAACTTTAAGACCCTCATCCTAGCTACCTGAAACTCAGTATTCTACTAGTAGCCTTCAAATGAAGATGTAGAATTCTCAGGTCTGCTTGCACCATGCCTGCCTAGATGCTGCCATACTCTCACCTTGATAATAATGGACTGAATCCCTGTAAGCCAGCCCCAATTAAATGTTATCCTTTAGCTGAAGAGGTTTGCAACCTCATAAGAACAATATCAATCAACTAGACCCCCCCCCCGAGCTTCCAGGGACTAAACCACTGACCAAAGAGTACATATGGAGCATCTAGCCGAATATGTAGCGGAAGATGGCATTGTCTGGCATCAATAGGAGGATAAGCCCTTGGTCTTAGGAAGGCTGGATTCTCCAGTGTAGGGGAATGCCAGAGCAGTGAGGTGGGAGTGGGTGGGTGGTAGGGGGAGCATCCTCACAGAAGTATGAGGAGGGGGAATGGGAGAGGGGGATTCCAGAGGGGAAACCAGAAAAGGGAATAACATTTGAAATGTAAATACATAAAATATCCAATAAAAATAAATGTTGTCCTTTATAAGACTTGCCTTGGTCATGGTGTCTGCTCACAGCAGTAAAACCATAAGACACCATTCTTATTCTCCTATCCTCATCTCCCAAGTACTGTAATTACAGAAATGTACCACTATGACTGACTGGAGATCTGTCTATTTTCTGTGGAAGGATATCATGTTTCTTTAGCATCATTTGTTAAATAGTCTCTCTTTTTCCAACATCTGTCTTGATACCTTCAATGCTGGCTGGAGAGATAGCCCAGTAGATAGAGTGCTTGCTGTGCAAGCATCAACAACAGTTTTTATTCCCAAGACCCACCTAAAAGCTAGAATTGAAGAGTGGCAACCTTAAATGCCAGTACTCAGGAGCAAAGATTGAAGATTCCCAGGGGAAACTGGCTAGCTAGATGAGCCATACCAGAGAGCTCCTGTTTAGGGAAAGGTCTTGCTCCAATAAAGTGGAGAATGATTGAAGAAGACACCCAATGTGAATTTCACCTCTTCACAAGCAATGAACAAAGACATGTGTTTCTGCATATATTCAATCATGTTTACATGTGTGCAAAAAGAAGAAAACCAAGTATTTCTGGGTGCTTGCACTTACTTCTGTGGCCTCTATTCTATTTCACTGCTCTATGCCTCTGTTCTTGTGCTAGAAACATCTTTTCAGTATTTCTCTATAGAATAACTTGAATCAAATATTGTGACACTTCTAGCATTGTTCTTTGTTCCCATTGTTGGCTCTTCATGGTCTTTTCAAGCTCTGTATGAAACTCCTTCTTTTTATTTTTGCCAAAAATATCACTGAGCTTTTGATGAGAGAAGTGCAAAATCTGTAAGCGGAATTTCTGTGAGAAATATAGCCAATTTCAAAATATTAATGCTGCTAAAGTATGCATAGACAGAATTCTCTCATAATCAGCGGTCTTCTTCAACATTTTTTGTAGCAACCTGTTCGGGTCAGTCAGCAGGGTCTCCACCGCAGGAGTGAGGATGCATGCTTCCAATTCCCGCTGTCCTTCACTGTATCCCGCTTACTGGAGCTTCAACGTTGAGGCGCCACTTTGTAGCCTCCTGAGCTGCCTCACGTTCGGGGGGCCACTTTGTAATGGCCCGTTCTGCTGCTCCGGTCCATGGGTCAGGGCCTAGCAAGAGAGAGAGTGGGGACTGAGACGCGAAGAATGGAGACAAGACAGGGAGTCTGATCAAGTCTCCTTCATTGGAAGGAAATCCTGGGTATTTATACCCTTTGCCACGTGCCTTGCCCTCGTGGACAAGCACAGCTGAAGGCACTATGTCATGTGCCTTGCAGCGTGGATATCACATGCACCTAGCTAGCAGTGAGGAGACCACGTGCACCTTGCAGCTGGTGGCACTAAACAGCAAAACAAGATATGTGAGAAAAACAAGATATTTATCAGAGTGTGCTCAGCTGTTGTAGGCTGTTGAAAACAAGTCTCTTGTCAGGGTATATGGCCTGAGATGGCTGCAAAGATGATAGCCACTTTCGGCTAGGAGTCGGCTCCCAACAATTTTTTTTTTTTTAGTTTTATCTCAAACAATAAATCCCAAATACAACCTCCCCTCCCTGAGTCCAAAGGAGGCACCATAGAGACAACCACACACATCTATATCTCAGTATCTCCTCATTATCATCCCACTTTGCTCACATCCCTCCCAACCATCTCCTTTTCTAGTCCCCTTCACTTTCTGCTTTCATGTATACATACATTATATGACTTATGAGGTACAATTATCTCCCTACATACTCTTGTTCCCTGCTACCTTTAAAAGCCTTCCACATGTCAGGAGTAGGTGATCTTCCTGAGATAGTCTGTTTAGGATTATAATCCATGACAGACTTTTTCCTATAGGCAAGGCTCAGGAGAAATCACTTTAGGAAAGATTCCTGCTATCATTATGTTCTTCCTCTTATTATTAAATCTATATAACAACCACTAGGTATTAGCCCACCTTTTTGAGAAGATCTCTGCAGATCTACGAAGATGTACTGTCTTGTAGTGATGCCATATACACAAATAGAAGACTTCTTGACTCTTAATGATGATGCTATAAGAGTTCCTAAAATTATATCAGTATTTATTAAGTTCTATTATAGTGGGACTGCTATTAGATTCTTTTCTGATATTCAAAACTGCAATGAAAACTTTGACAGTCTCCTCATGTATCACCAGTTAATTGCTTCTAGATAGTAATCAGACTTTCTACTACTCAGAGCACATTCCAAGAGGTTGTAAAACCATTAACCAAAAGGTCATAAAAGGGAACTAATGATTTATTATAGGTCTAGGACCAAAGGTAAAATATTGACTGGGTCTGTCTATACAAAACTTCACTAATAACTTAATTATGTTTTTTAACCTTCAATGAACCTGTGAAGCTGTGACAGGTGATGAATTTTTAGCCAGATAATTACTCCTAAAGGCTATGCATGTAAACATTCTATGCTTTAAATTTCTATTTCAATTTAGGATTTGATTTTACCTATGAACTTGTGATGAACTTTTTACCATGTGAACATGTAATCTAAAAGATGTATAAGTGCTGAGGATAAAGAGAAGAGAGAGGAACTGAGCTCAGGAGAAGTTTTTAGACAGAACACTCCTTAAACAGAACTGAACTCAAGAAGAGCTTAGAAGTATAGGCATAGCATTGGGAAAAAAGGCATTAAGAGTAAGAGCATTATTGTGACATCAGAGCAGCAGGAGAGAGCAAGATTAGAAGGAGAATGCAGAGTGGAATAACTTAGAAGCTCTGGATAGCATAAAAAACTAAGAGAAAAATGTGCAGAATGCAGAGGGAAAAAGGAAAAAAGAAGATGTTGCTGAGAGAGCAGAAGGGACAGGCAGGCTTCTCCTTACCATTGGCCAGGACAGGTCTTTTCTTAATAGCTAGGCATGTTTAGTCTGATTAAAGGAACAAATCTTTCCTTTTACAAATTTGGGTTCAATTCATTTAGCATTAAAAATGTAGAAGCTTTTTCTTTCTCTATACAGTAAAGATTGGAGCTCATTTTTCATCCAGAATGAGTGAGTTCTTTCTGCACTGGTGCTTGGTCTTTTGCTCCATATGCATATGTAAGTAGGGATATGTGTTTGTAAGTATATGAATGTGAGAATGTATACATGTGTGTGTGTAACTATGTAATTATGAGAATGCATACAAGCTGAGCCCAAGTTGTCTGAATGGAATTGTGTAAATGCTCATGTGTGAACCTGAATATGAATTTATGTGCTTATGCATATTTGCTTATGTAAAAGTTTTTCTCTCTGCAAGCATTATTCTCTTCTCTTGTTCAATAGAAGTTTATTGCTTCAAACTCTCCCATAGCCTGACAAGCAAGAGGCATCTGGATAAAAAGGGGAAAGGCTCTAGCAATTAATTTTTTACTTAATCTGCTCTTTTAAGATGAGGTATTAAGTGCCAATTTCTTACCTAAGAGGAACACAAAAGGCAGGTCAGCTACAGTAGCAAAGTAGCTTAGAATTAGATAAGTAAACTTTTTATCATTATACAGCAATCATAAATATCTCGTAAGACAAAGTCTTACCCTTCAGTGATGCTCTTCCCTCTCCTAGGCCTCAAGAAGAACCAACAAGGAAAAAGACCCCTCTGGGGCTGGACCCTGGCATTAACCTGATCCACAGCCCCTTCTTTCTTAAATTTCAAATATACTTGAAATCAGCTTCACAGAACAAAGAGAGCTGTGCATCACAGTTTCTTGTGCTCAGTAAATATAACTTCCATAAAGTATCCAACTATCTTCCAGTACTAAAGGACAGTATACCCCCATGGCCATGGGCAAAGAAACACCTTATTGGTGGTGTGGTGCTTACATGAGTCAGGGGTCAGAAAAAACGGCAGTTTGCTTATCCTAGTTTGATGTTTGGCTTGGTGACCAAAATTGTTTTATGACTTTGACACATAAAAATCCAAATCAAATCAAATCAAATCAAATCAAATCAAATCCAGGCAGAGCAGCATTGGGAGGAGAAGGACAGACAGAGATCTGCATTATGCCATGCTCATGGTGAGGCTGGGGAAAGATGCTCAGAGACCTGCCCTTCAGCAAGGGTGGGCCATAGACACACAGAGCCATTCTTACCACAATGTAGAGCAGCCATGCCACTCACAGATCTGCCCTTCAGTCCTTGGCACAGGTGAGCCATAGACACATCCTGGAACCTCACTATTGAAGCTCAATCAGAGGAAGTAACTCAGGGACCCACCAGACAAGGCTGCAGCAGGAGCCTCCTCAATGCAATTTTGTGGTGGACAGATGGAAGGGAAAGAGAAGTGGATCAGTTTAAACATTATGAAGACATTATGGAACTGGAAACTCAAGGGTCGAAAGAAGTATCCTGTTGTGAATGGCCAGGCATGCTACCTGGGTTCTTGGTGTGGTTCAAGCTTGAACTGCCACCGAGGATCATGACTGTATCCATAACTAAGCAGCAGCAAAAGATGGTGTCAATGTCCATGGTCCACATTACCAGTAGAGAACATGGGGACTACCTTGGTCCTGCCAGTGGCAGGGGACAATTTAGATCTCCAGTAGCTGTGTAGAAGTGGCCCTGTGCCTCACTGGTGTCAGTGCTTTTGAAAACAGGTCCCATGTCTCACCAGAAGTTGCACAAGGGACAGTAGGCCCTGAACCTTGTCCAGGTAGCACATTGGAGCTGGCCTTAGTGATAGGGTGTAGGTGAGCTGGCCCTGAAGTTGTGAGTGTGGCACAACTGATTCTACCATCACTGGACTGCTGTATGGTGGCACAGGTGCAGTTTGCCAAGCTGCCCATGGGATCATGAAAAGGGAATAGCTCCTCACCAGATACTGCACTAGGGAAAATAGATAGTTTACCTGGCCTGGGAAGCACAGCAGAGCTGATCCTGGGAATGGGGACTACAGTGAGTGTGGACTTGTTGTGGGTTTGAGGGAGGGAGAGCTGGTCCCAGGACTTGAGGTGGGGTGGGTATGGAGGTGATGCCCAATTCCTCCTTACTCTCACTACCTGTAACACTTGGGAGAGCAGGCCCTGCAGTTCACCTTAGAAGCACAGTAGAGCTGTGGATAGGACAGAGTGATCCAGTCCTGAGGGCAAGAGCATTGGAGAGCTGGCCCGTCCACACCTCTGCTGTGAGCTGGCATCAGGAGCATGGATGCTCTCTGCCGTCTCACCCTCCCCACCTGTTGACAGTTGGGAGAGCTGGCTCTGGCTTGATTTAAGAGGGCAAATAGGCTGCCCTTGCTGTTCATCAGCTGAGGAACACAGGAGAGATGGCCTTTCACCTGCCTGGGCTGCACAGTAGAGCTGGCCCTGGTTGAATGGGCACGTGTGAGCCATCCCATTGCAGGATGCAGCAATCCAGAGAGCAGGTCCTGTGGCTTGACTTGGCTGCCCAGTGGAGTTGGCTGGATGTATGGGTGTAGTTGAGCTAGTTCAGAGGGCATGATTGCAGGAGAACTGACCCTGCCTCCTGCAGATGGCATTGGGTGATCTAATCAGAGTAATGCTGGAGAGATTACTCCAATGGTGCACTGAGCAGCTCAGCTACTACCCAGGCTCAGATCAAGAGCTCTGAGTTGGCCCACCCCAAAATCAGTATCATGTACAAACATGTGGTTAAAAGCATTGGCTGTTTTGGCAGCTGAATGTGGTCCAATTCCAATCACTGACATGGTGACTCATAACTGTAATTCCATTTCCATTCACTAGGGAATGCTGGTCCTGATCCTTGCCCAGGCAGCACAGTAGAACTGGCCCTGGTGGTGGGGTGTGGGTGTTGTAGCCCTGAAGTTGTGATTGTTGGACAACTGATCCTACCACCACCACTGGTCTGCTGTATGGTGGCACAGATATAGTTAGCCAAGCTGCCCACAGGATCTTGAAAAGGGAATAGCTCCTCACCAGCTGCAGCACTGGGGAGAGTGGATAGTGTACCTGGCCTGGATAGCACAGCAGAGTTCACCCTGGGGGTGTGGGGAGCCCACCACCAGGGCCAGCTTCACTGTGCTGCCTGGGCAAGTGTCAGGGCCTGCTGTCCCTGGTAAATGGAAATGGAATTACAGGCAGTTATTAGTCACCATGTGAGACTTGTGAAAGGGCCAGTCCTGTTTATCCAAAGCTGCAGAATCTCTAATACACAGGGCAACAACAGGATAACCAGGAGGAGATCCAGTGAGGATCCAATATTGATGATGTCACAGAAGCCAGAAATCTGGAACCAGACCAATGAATCATTGCAATGAACATGCAAGTGAAGATATGTGGATAGAGGAATATACTATGGGACACGCTGTGCTGTATGACAGCTTCCACGATGCGATGTTTTATATGCTTGTGTGTGTGTGTGTGTGTGTGTGTGTGTGTGTGTGTTTGTGTGTTATTTGATATGTAGGTTGCAAGGGCAAAGTGCAGATATGAAGGATGGGAATGAGGATTTGAGTGCATAATGTGAAAATCACAAGAATCAATCGAAAGCTTTTTTTAAAGATCATTACAAACAAAGGTCTTGGAAGAAAGATTGGAAACATGAAGCCTATACTGTGCACAGTATGTATGTAGGTAATCATAATGCACCACTGAGCAGGAATCCTAATGTTACCTAAATTAGGAACCACAGCTAGCTTTCCTGAAAATAAGAAAATCAGAGTACATTGGATGCCAGAGAAGTGAGTAGAGGCACCCAGCTTCACTAGGTAACCCTGCAAAAACTCTAAGGGCATAAATAAATAAATACCCCTTACACAACCTGGTCAAGCTAAATTAAATAAAAAAAAAACCCAGACTTCTATGAATTTTCTTTTTTAAAAAAATAAAATCTAAATTTTTAAAAAAAGAGTTCATTGTTGTTTTAATGGGTGAGGAAGGGAGGGAGTATTGTCTACATGGTTGTCTGTAAACCACATTTATCCAGGTGGCCAGAGGAGCCCATCGGATGCCTTAGAAATGGAATTACAGGCAGTTATGTGTCACCATGTCAGTGCTTGGAATTGAACCACATTCAGCTTCCAAAACAGCCGGTGTTTTTAACCAATGTACCATCTCTGCAGTCCTTTGAAAAGATTGTAAAGTGAAATTGAATAGCATTAATTTGAAAAGCATAGTTTGATAAGGGTGCTGCCCACCATTTAAAAGCGATCATTGTTACATGGACAGAATCCAAACTGAAACAACTATACTGTAAGAAAATAGACACATTCACTAAATGATACTGAGAAAACCCTCAAATCTTTACATCACAACTATGGGGAATTTTGGCTCAGCAAGAAAGATTTTGCTGGTTGGGACCATCTCCATTGGACCTGCCCTAGCTCATCACCAAAGAGCTTCCTACTCAGGTACAGCTTCTGTAGCCTTGTGGCCCAGTTGCAGGAACTGAAGCAGGGAGCTTTTTACCTTTGTACAAGAACAATGATCTCTTCCATCCTAAAGTTTATTGTTTTCTTTTTTAATATCTTTACTTGTTTTGTTTGGTGGGGTAAGTTCATGGACTTTATAGGTTTCATTCAAAAAAAATCTCATTGAATACACACTGAATCCATTTTATATTGCCTTTATGTGTGTATGGGTGCATTCATATACTAGAGCATGGCCCACATTCCTGAAGAAAAAAAGACTCCTTCTCCCAGTAGCTATTTATTCCCTAGCTCTTCAGCTAGGGATGGAAATTCATGGAATTTTGTCTGGCTTAATCTTGTGAAAGACTTGTGTGTTCAATCCCAGCCATTGTGAATTTATGTACACAACTGCATTCTCATGTTTAGTAAGTATCCAGGAGACACTTTGTATACAGGCATCTACTCCTTCCCCAGAGAAAAACAGGAAGTTGTATGGGAAACATGAAGGGTATATAGCAGAGGAGTTGGATGATCGGGAATAGTGGGTGGATTGGATATAAGCACTGGGACTAGTGAAAGGGCCAGTCCGGTTTATCCAAAGCTGCAGAATCTCTAATACACAGGGCAACAACAGGATAACCAGGAGGAGACCCAGTGAGGATTCAATATTGGTGATGTCACAGAAGACAGAAATCTGGAACCAGACCAATGAATCATTGCAATGAACATGCAAGTGAAGATATGTGGACAGAGGAATATACTATGGGACACGCTGTGCCGTACGACAGCTTCCATGATGAGATGTTTTATATGCTTGTGTGTATATGTGTGTGTGTGTCTGTGTTTCTCTGTGTCTGTGTCTGAGTGTGTGTTATTTGATAAGTAGGTTGCAAGGACAAAGGGCAGATATGAAGAATGGGGATGAGGATTTGAGTGCATAATGTGAAACTCACAAGAATCAGTCAAAAGTTTTTTTTTTAAAGGTCATTATAAACAAAGATCTTCAAGAAACTTTGGAGACATGAAAACTATACTGTGCACAATATGTATATAAATATTAAATGTATGTAATATTGTATTATATATGTAAATATTATATGCATGTATATTATATGTATGAAAATGTTTGATAAATAAAATAGGTTTGAAAAAATTCTAACCACAAGAAGTACTCTCACCTTGGACTGTATTCCATCACTTAAACACTGGTAGCTAAGGCTACTCAATCCTCAGAGTGTTGATGGGACAAGAGAAGTTACTAACCAGATTTTGAAGAGTATAGACAGTCAGATGTAAAATATCTCAACATTTTTTTTCTGCTGATATACATTTGATAATGTTTACTTAATGAAACATATTATCTAAACTGTTTATAAAGCTAGGTGTGTGTCAGGAGCCATCATAGAAAAACTTAATAACTAACAGGTGATCTTCTTGAGATGATCTGCCTGGATTATAATAATCCATGACAGATTTTCTACCATAGACAAGGCCAAGGAGAAAATAATTTTAGGAAAGATTCCTGCTATTAATATGCTCTTTTTGTTATTATCACATATATTACAATCACTAGGTATTAGCCCATCA